TATATATAATCAATGTCTTTTACGGAATATTCGTCAAAAAGAATTTTTCACATCCTGAAATGCATTTACATCGATATTTCAACATTTGCGTTAGGTTAGAATATTCACAAGATAAGTTATTTTCAAAAATAAACAGCATAATTAATAATTACTGTGCCATAAGTTAATTACAGAATTTATACTTGACTTAGTTTATTTAACTTAAATAGTTATATATTGCCAAGTATGAATTATTTATATGGTACATCGAAATTAGATTTACATAAATATATAAAATAATTTTCTGTAAATTCGTGACTCCGACATTGCCATTTATGGAGAAATCTCGTTTTTTCGTATAGTGTTTGTGAGGTTGTAATTTTTTTTTGTCTGTATATAAAATAAAATACATAATTTTCAATTTCAATTTCAAATATGTAGGCATTGGTGAATGGTGGCCCCTGAGGTGACATACCTATTTTCGGCATACCTACCTATATATTTCTTAAAAGAAGAAGTTGTATGATGTCATTTATATAGTTGTTGACATCGTAAGTTTTCAGGGTATTCAATAAGATTTTAAACCATTTTAAGAAACATTTATTTTGATCAATTAAAATATTTTTGAATACATTTCAAAAGAATTTCACCAGTTTCCAGGTGTWAATCTTCGATATTTTTATGGAGGGAACACATATAAATTCTATAATTTTAATTAATTGCTAATGGCTATACTTATAATTAAGACAGAGGACTTGTAGCTCTAAAAAAAATCTAAAATATTTATTCATTTATTTGTGTTGTATATCAACGGGTATCTTAACCCGTATCATATTGTACCCTTTTACAAATTATATAAAGAAAACAAATCTGATAAAAACTAAAAAAGTGTAGTAAAACCTAACAAAAACAAATATAATAATATAAAAATAATTCTAAATTACAAGTAATAAGTACTTATATAAAATTATGGTTATACTATAAACATTTTTTTCCATATGCAAACACTTATGCTCTTAAAAACCCCATAATATGCTTTTAAACATTTCTTTAAAATTATTAATAAAATAAATATCATGTAAAACAATCACATAATTTAAATATATATTGGATCATAGCCAAATAAACAAGATACATTTTTCTTAATTTTATATTTAATCTTCTGACACACACAAAAAAAAAATAATCATAATTTAGTAAAAATCATTTTTCTCTGCAAGCGCTTTTAGAAAATACGTGTGTCCGTGAAATTGACGTGAATAGCCAAAAACCATATTATACAGCAAAAATTAAAAATTAATAATTTTTTATCCAAACATTTTGACTGTATTGTTTGAAATAAAAATGTCAGTATGGAAAAAATTGATTTAAGTTAAATACGCCCTAAAAACAAAAATGACTCAAAATATACATTAATATTATACAAAAAAAATTTCCAAATTAGCTGTGTAGAATTATAAAACGTATTCGTTTCATACTCTGCTACTTTTGTGACTGTGCAAAACAAATAAGCAAGTGCTACAAATCTTTTGCCCTAGTTATAATTATAAACAGTGTTGAGACTTATCTAGATAATTATTCAGTTATCTTTCATCTTATCTAAATAAATAGTTGAATTTTATCTAAATAATTAATAATTATCCAAGATAAAAAATTCATTCATCTAGATAAATTTATCTAGATAAATTCATCTCTATACAAAAAAATATAATACACATTTTGATTGTCAATTTATATTTATGATAACTAGCCAATACTTTAAATTTGAATTGTCGAGTCATCTCGGTAAAAAAAAAATATGTTCATAATAATGTTATTTATTATACCTACAGATATTATATTTTATTATTGATATTTTCGTTAAGGGCCCGGACACGGTGATCAAATATACCTACATTACATTATTATAAATCGTGTAAAATGTGTAGTTTTTTCTTGATTTTTATACTTAATTTAAAAAATGTTTTTTTCAATTATGCCTTAGTTATTTATTAATAATAATGTCTACTGATAACATTAATTTACTCATATAGCCGATGTTTATATAATATTGAAGTACTAAGTAGTATCAAAGGTGTACTCTTAAAATGTTTTGAATTTCAATGTGTTAAAAAAATTAAATTTATCTTTTTTGTTATCTAGATAATAATGTATTTATCTTTCATCTTTATCTAGTTAAATTTAAATTGAGTTATCTTTTATCTTTATCTAGATACATTTTTGCCCTGTTATCTTTATGAGTGTGTAGCCGTTCTCTTACAACTGATAAGAACTAAGAAAAAAAAGAAAAACTTGTACAAATCATGTATACCAACACTGAAACATAAATTCCCTAACTGAATTTATAAAACTTAAACATCTTATGTAATAATATGTATTTATATTCAGTATTAATAAGATACATATAAGTGCCATACTGTATACAATGTCACGAATTAACGTTCATGCAATGTTCAATTAATGTT